AAAACTCGGTTAGTAAAAATTATCCAATACGAACCGCCAATTCTTCAGTCCACGTAGACTAATTCGTTGCGGCATAATTCCTTTGTATTGGTTTTTTTTGCCTTTGACTTCGCCGACACCTTTAAGATTACTATATCGGTTACATCGACTATACCAAAAGTTATTTAGGGTGGGTCGTTTTAAATGAAATGCACTGTATATGAATAATAATCATCCCCTTAATTGATGTATACAAAAAGAATTGTGAGTATATATTCCAGTTCAGATTTAGAAGAGTCTAAAAAAAGCTAACGTATAGTGGAATACGTTCAACATTCATTTTGATCAAATCATGGGCTAATTCCATCTCGAGAGTGTTTATTTCTTCACTGAAAAGGAAGTCGTTACAGTACCGAATCTAACCTTTATAAATATTTCTTCGTGCTCTACTCAGCCGTAAATACCCACGGTGAGAATTTTCGTACGTGGTATATCTACCAGAATAGATTTTGGCACATTGACTAAAAACTCCGTGTCGATCGGATGCTATCCTACCCCGTGTCTCGAAACCGTGCCAGTTGAATGTATTTTTTCGCATTTTTTACAATTTCGCCGCAAGTGGTGGTGACTGCTCGGTTTGGATGATTTTTTTTTTGAAAAAAATATAGTGATCATGATGAGATCCTGCGTTTCCGAGTTCAATTTGAACGGCGGCGTTACCGTAGATTTGCCGAAGATGAGGAGGAAGTCTCTGCCGAGAAATAACTTCAGAGGTATGAAGAAGGAGGAATTGCAAAGGCGGACCAATATGTATCTGGCTTCAATGACAGTAAGTGCAGAATGTGAGAGGAAATGAAGTGGGTAATTTTAAAGCTCTGTCATCTTCGACTTGTTTACGTTCATTCTAATTCTAAGTTAGTTTGAGAGCTAGCAAGTAAACATGGGCACTTATGTCATAGGTGACATTCACAAACAAGAATTTTATTTTTATTCCAGTGAAATATTACTTCCTTCCACTGTCACTGTCACTGATTCTCTGAATTATTTGAAAGAATATTATACTCCAATATTTACAGTCCAATCCGAAATATCATATCAGATGATCAGCATGTGTTTATAGAAAACAATTTGTGCATGTCTTTCGCAATGTGTCTATAGAGCTTTGGATAGGAAATTGCAGGTTGACGTCATTTATATAGACATGCAAAAAGCTTTTGATGAAATCAATTTCTTCATTCTTCTCAAGCGTCTATCAGAATTTGTTTTTTCAGCAAGTTTGGTAAAACTCATATCAAATTACCTACTTGTTAGGAATCACACGTTAAAAAATAAGACCTCGTTAGTCCTACGCTCGCACAAGTTTCGATCTTTGAGGGTTGTCGTTCGTAGGGGTGCGACAGGTGGTTAACGGAAAAACAGATAAATTGATGGATGTAGCCGTTACTACGTGCTAGGAAATCATAATGAAGAAAAGATAATTGAAACTTTCTATGTTTTTTACCATGTATAAGTTTGAAAATGTCCTTATAGAACGAAACTGCAGTAACGTTAGTTACAAATAAAAGTGGTAAAAAACATGATTTGAACAGATTTTTTAACAGATAGAAAGCAGTATGTATAGTATGAAGTCTTTTAATCTGCTTCATATACTCCCAGTTTCGGAGTGCTCCAAGGCTCGAATTTAGGACCACTTTTGTTCTTAATTTCCATTGATGATTCAACTAAAATAATGAACAATTCAAAACTGCTCTACGCCGATAACCAAGAAAAAGGAATTAGCATATAAAAACTATAAGAAATATAAAACAGCATTTTATCAAAATCAATTCTCGGATTTGAGAAAAACTGTCAAACTAAAATAAAAGCAGCATATAGTCAATTTACAAACTTAGCTGAAAATAATATTTTATCTGACAGCTAGACTTTCTGGTCTTTCATACACAGTAAAAAAGGTCACTCCCGTATACAGGGTATAATGAACCTTGATGATGAGGTATTTGATAAGCCTGGGGACATTGTCTATGGATTCGCCAAGTACTTCAGAAGTGTATACTTGGTTTCGGACAAGAATATGCTTCGTGAAAATTCTCATGATTCTGATTTATCACAAAAAATAAAAATGTTTCTGATACGAGGGAACACTGTAACGAACAAAACAATTATTGTAACTTTAAAAATGCCTTGGTGAAACAGGATTGGAATGACCTCCACAAAATTTAAAATTCAAATGCTAGTTTTGGCTAGTTCTACAATGTATTTATATATCGGTCGGTCGGTAGCCGGGCGGTTCGACGTGGGTGCTTTGTTCACTCAATCAATCGACCGATATGTGAGTCAATGGTTCAAGCCCCAGGCTGAACGCTCGATTTTCACTTGCTATCGTCCAACCCGTGTTAGGAATCACACAAGGTAAGACCTCGTTAGTCCTTAGCTCGCACAAGTTTCGACTTCTGAGGGTTGTGGTTCGTAGGGGTGCAACAACTGGTTAACGAAAAAATATATATGTCGAACATACATATATATCATTTCGATTTGAATATCAAGGCAATAAATGTCCCTCCAAGAATTGGGTTACTGAAGAAGACCTTTTTATCCTACAAGAGTGCTTTGCTAACCGCATACCTATTTATAACCAGAACAAAAAAAAATAAAAATTTCGTCAAAAAAAAACTCTCAGTGTGTCTTTAACACACAACATGTAGAAATCATAGTAAATGTTCGAAATGTCTACCTTCAGACATCACGCATGCGTCTAGACGTCGGCGCATTGACCCACGTATTCGCTCAAATATTCCTGGAGTCTCTCTGATTACCCTACACGCATCGATGATGCGGTTTCTTAAGTCATCTACATCGCGAACAGGAGTACAATAAACCAAATGCTGTAAATGGCCCCAAATAGAGAAATCGAGAGGATTGAGATNACTGTTAGGATTTTCTGCTCCAAATATTTATTATAATATTATATCTTTACTTATAAATCAACGTTAATTTATTAGAGTTTGAATTATTCAGATAAGCAAGAAGGCCATAAATGTTTTTTTTCAATATGACACCATCGCACTTACTGTTGAATGCAGTTGCTTCCTGGGAACTCGTGGAGGTCGTCCCCATAGACTTTCTCCTCGAAGATTTCCACTGAAGCTCCAGGTCAAACCTCCACTAATTCCACACGCAGCCGGTACTAAGAATCCTCTTGACGAACCGCCAGATCATATTTCCTTTATTTTCTAAGCCAGTACCCAAGACAACTCAGGAGGGGTAATAAAACACAAATGTAATCCAGCAATCAACTCCTTCAAATTTTCTGGTTAGACCTCTGAAGAGTCCAGCCACTCGTGCTAGCGAAACGTCAGTAAAAAATATCAGTAGACAACAGTCTAAAAGTTTGTAGCCACAAACAAATTCAAAATGGTGTGCTGTAAACCAACGTTTTGAGATCTAAACTAATAGATAACCGTGCCATGACATAAGATATTGTATAGTAAAACACGTGTTGCGGTTTTGTGAAGTGTTCGGTGACAATCAAGTGTTAGTTGAATGCGTTACTATTATTTTTTACTTTAATTATTCATACATTAGTTTCGGCCGAGTTGAAAAACAACTACATACTCTGAATATCCAACAATTCTTCATACAAGAATTAATTCTACTGTACAAGGTTTGTTTAAAAAGTAAGGGGTGATTTTAATTTTTCTCAATGAATATTCATTCATTCATCAATTTCTATTTTGTCCGCTTCAATCGTCGCAAAAAGCCGTCCTTTCATAGGTCTCTTCAATCTTGGAAACAGGAAAAAGTCGCAGGGAGCCAAATCTGGTGAAAACGGTGGCTGAGGCATGATTATCGTGTTGTTTTTGGCCAAAAAATTACGAGCAAGAAAGGTATGCCTCTTACCAACAAACTAAACATGCTAAGCAGCTGAAACCATGAACCTATGTTCGAGACAAGTGTACAACATAAAAAATAAAAAAATCACTTATTGAATGTACGTAGCCCTCGAAAATTGAACATTTACCTCATTTTTTATTCGCTATGTGAACTACTCATTGTATAATAAATAAAGCCAGTTCAATATTTGCTACTAAATATGACGGCAATATCATTCATGTCGAAGTCTCAAACAAAAGACATTTTTTTTTATTCTGTTCTGAAATATATATCAGATGTATTTTGAAAAACTATGAGCGGTTACATTTTCAAGTTAAACAGGGTCACCCAGTCGGTGTTCTTAAATCAAAGCCCGTTATGGATTTTCCGTGTTTCTTCAGCGCATGCGCTTCATACAATTTGGATTGTTGTGAAAGATCTGAATTTTCCGAGTCGATATTTTTCGGAGACGAAGTAATCAGTTGTTTTCATGTCTTAAAGTAATTCAGATCGCAATGATCGTTTTCAAAAAGGTAATAGTAAAATAATATTTTATTGCACTTCAAGTATAGAAGCAAACCATTAGATAATACAAGATTGAGAAGTTTATCCGAGTTGAAAAATAAACTCGTGTCATAACGATGTATTTGTATGACCAATAAGTTGTTTCTTGTAGTTAGTTACTTCTTACTTCAATGAGGTATAATTTGTAAGTTATTCTACAAAAAATGTTTGAACCTCAATCTCTCCTTCGGTTACTTGTAGTTAGGTACTTCAGTGGGATATAAATTGTAAGTTATTCTACAAAAATTGTTCAAACTTCAATCTACCCTTCAGTTACTTGAAGTTAGTTACCCAATGGGGTATACATTGTAAGTCATTCTGCAAAAAATGTGTGAATTTCAATATCTCCTTCAGTTATTTGCAGTTAGTTACTTCAATGGGGTATAAATTGTACGTTATTCTACAAAAAATGTTTCGAACTTCAATCTCTTCTTCAGTTACTTGTAGTTAGTTACTTAAAACGGGTATGAGTTATATGAGTTATTCAACAAAAAAAATTAAACTTCAATCTCTACATTAGTTTATCCGAGTTGAAAAATAAACTCGTGTCATAACGATGTATTTGTATGACCAATAAGTTGTTTCTTGTAGTTAGTTACTTCTTACTTCAATGGGGTATAATTTGTAAGTCATTCTGCAAAAAATGTTTGAACTTCAATCTCTCCTTCAGTTATTTGCAGTCAGTTACTTCAATGGAGTATAAATTGTAAATTATTCTCCAAAAAATGTTTAAACTTCAATATCTCCTTCAGTTACTTTCAGTTAGTTACTTCAACGGGGTATCAATTGTAAATTATTATTCTCCAAAAAATGTTTAAACTTCAATCTCTCCTTCAGTTACTTGTAGTTAGTTACTTCTTTGAGGTATAAATTGATCAGCCATTCTACAAAAAACTTCAATCTCTCCTTCAGTTACTTGTAGTTAGTTACTTCTTTGAGGTATAAATTGATCAGCCATTCTACAAAAAGAATTTCAAGCTTCCCTATTTAACAAAAAAATTTACAAAAATGTTATCTTGTGCCCTGTGCAAGAAAGGGTCAATAATAAACTTCCAATCATAGTATCACGGTCGTTATCACATCCACAACAAAGAGAATATTTTTGGAATACCTGGGAAATTGCAACGTGCAAAAAATCGAAACTTTATATTTCAGTACTCTTCCCGGGAAAAATCGCAACGATTTCTCTTCATACCTACGTTTATAGGGTGATCCAGAAAATACATTTTTCTCAATCTGAATTCCCAATAAATGTATCCTTCTAAAGTTATAATATGCTCTTCAATCATGACGACCTAAATATTGAAATGGCAATTTCAAGTAATATTTTTTCGTGAAATCGTTAAAAATAATCATTTTCTATCCGAAACAACTAATTCAGTTTTGAATTACATA